AAGTACAGCTGGATATCGTCCATAGTGCAGTCCAAGGTTTTGGGTTTTCCGTAAATACCTCAAAACCCTTACAATTGCCTTCCAGTGTTCATCACCGGGGTTGCTAGTATATCTACTAAGCTTACTAACCACAAAGGCAATATCAGGCCTGGTACAACTCATTAGATACATTAAACTGCCAATAATCCTAGCGTATTCTACTTGAGAAATACACTCTCCACGATTTTTGGTCAGATGTACGTTTTTATCTAATGGCGTCCTTGCCTCTTGATAATCATCCTTATTAAATTTATTAAGGATTTTATCAACGTAATGGGATTGGCTTAGCGTCAGACCGTCAGGTCCTCGAATTATTTTAATCCCAAGGATTAAATCGGCCAGCCCCATATCCTTCATGTCGAATTTAGAATTTAACATGCTTTTGGTAGAATTAATCATTAGATTATTGCTACCCACGATGAGTATATCATCCACGTATAAACATAAAATGACATAGCCGTCTACCGTGCTTTTCACATAGACGCATTTGTCACTTTCGTTTATGTTAAACCCATTAATTAACATTGCATGATCGAACTTTTCGTGCCACTGTTTAGGGGCTTGTTTCAATCCGTACAATGATTTAATTAATTTACACACCTTCTTTTCTTGGCCTGGAACACGAAAACCCACAGGTTGTTCCATATAGATTTCTTCGTCTATATCGCCGTTTAGAAAAGCGGTTTTTACGTCCATTTGATGAACTTCCAAATTCCGCAAAGCGGCAATTGCTAGTATCATCCTAATGGAATTTATTCTCGTCACAGGAAAATACGTGTCAAAGTAATCATGGCCCTCGCGTTGCTTGTATCCCTTGATTACAAGTCTGGCCTTATACTTATCAATGGAACCGTCCGGTTTCATTTTACGTTTAAAAATCCACTTGGATCCCAAAGGTTTACATCCCGGAGGGAGATCAACCAATTCCCACGTGTGATTTTTTAGGATAGAATCCACCTCACTTTTGATGGCTTCTTTCCACATTGGTCCTTCGGTAGACGTTACGGCTTCCGTATAAGTCCGTGGCTCATTTTCTACCAAACATGTTAGAAAATCCGGTTCATTTTCTACCATACAAGTTAGAATATTCGAATCGAATTCTACCAAGTATGTGAGAAAATCCGGTCCGAAGGATTTTTCAACTCTAGCACGTTTGCTACGTCGGGGTTCGGCTTCTTCACCGGATCCCTCACTAGTATTTTCCATAGCTACGTCAAATGTTCGTTTTGACGTGCTAGGTCCATCGCTGGACTGGCATGGAAATACGTCTTCAAAGAATGATGCATTCCTTGACTCGATTATTGTGTTTTTATGTACATCCGGATTATTCGAATCGTACACTAAAAACCGATAAGCACTACTATTTTGTGCATATCCAATAAAAATACAATCCACCGTTTTTGGACCTATTTTTATTTTCTTAGGTGTTGGTACAAGCACCTTAGCAAGACACCCCCACACTTTTAAATATTGATAGGAAGGCCGTCTGCCTTTCCACAACTCGTACGGAGTTTTATCATATTTTTTCCGGGGAACCTTATTTAAAAGGTAATTGCTTGTTAAGATCGCTTCGCCCCACATATTTTGTGGCAAGCCCGAACTTACTAGCATCGCATTCATCATATCTTTCAATGTGCGATTCTTTCGTTCGGCAACACCGTTTGATTGAGGTGAATAGGGTGCGGTACGTTCGTGTACTATACCCACACTAGCGCAAAAGTCACCAATTGGTGCTTCATACTCACCACCTCGATCACTCCTAACCGTTTTAATCCGTCGATTAAGTTGGTTTTCCACTTCATTCTTATAAAGAATGAATTTATCGATTGCTTCATGTTTATTTTTCAACAAATAAACATAGCTATAGCGAGTGCTATCATCGATAAAGGTAATAAAATATTTATTACCGCCACGTGTTTGTATTGATTTAAAATCACAAACGTCACTATGAATTAATTCTAGTGGTTCCGTTTTTCTTTCAACCGATTTGAAAGATGTTTTCGTTAGTTTTGCCTCAACACAAATATCACATTTGTGCTTCACATCAATTGTGAATTTAGGAATGTGTTCCATGTTAATTAATCTACGTATAGAATTAAAATTAACATGTCCTAGTCTACCATGCCACACATTGGAAGACTCAAGCAAGTAAGCAGAAGGGATTTTATTATTATTAATAATAATAGTCGTTACATTGAGCTTAAACAGCCCATCACATGCATACCCCTTGCCCACATACATTCCCGACTTGGACAAAACCAATTTGTCCGACTCAAAAACCATACGAAAGCCATGCTTGTTCAACAACGAACCGGAAATCAGGTTTTTGCGTATCTCCGGAACGAACAGCACTTGGTTAAGAGTCAGCTCTTTGCCCGAAGTCATCTTCAGGACCACCTTGCCCACGCCTTCAACCGCGGAATGAGCCGAGTTTCCCATCCACACTTTCTCACCATTTGATGGCTCAAAAGTAGTGAATAACTCCCGGTTTGAGCAAATATGCCGAGTAGCACCGGTGTCCACAAACCACTCCTTGGAATTGGATCCAACGAGGTTGACTTCCGTCACCACGGCCGCTAGGATGATGTCTTCATCCTTTTGCCCACCTTGCACCAAGTTGACGTGAGAATCTTTCTTTCTCTTTGGTGCCTTGCAATCCGAGGACTTGTGTCCATTCTTGTTGCAATTGAAGCATTTTCCATTGAACTTTGTCTTGGAAACGCCTCCCTTGGGACCGAGCTTGCTCTTCCCATTGTTTTTATTTTTGGAGCTTTTTGCATGCTCCACCACGTTGGCCTTGGCACCATGAACAATTGGGAGTTTCCCATCGTTCTTCCGGTTATCCTCTTCAATCCGCAGACGGAGGATCAATTGTTCCAAGTTCATTTCCTTTCGCTTATGCTTAAGGTAGTTTTTGAAATCCTTCCAAGCCGGCGGCAACAAATGTATAATTGACGCCACTTGGAAAGACTCGCTAACCGTCATTCCTTCATCTCGAATTTCGTTGAAGATCATTTGCATCTCCTCAACTTGACTCAAGACCGTCTTCGAATCCACCATTTTAAAATCAAGGAATCGACCAACAACAAATTTCTTTGCGCCGGCATCCTCGCTTTTATATTTGTGGTCCAAAGCATTCCATAGCTCCTTAGCCGTAGCTAATTTGCTATAAACGTCGTACAAAGCATCATGCAGCCCGTTCAACACATAGTTTCGGCAAAGGAAGTCAGAATGCTTCCAAGCTTCAACCGCGTTGAAAGATTGCGCATCCACCTCACCCCCGGTTACAACCGGTGCGTCCTCGGTCAAGAACCTCGCAAGACCGAGAGTAGTGAGATAAAATAGCATCTTTTGCTGCCACCTCTTGAAGTTTAACCCATTGAATTTCTCGGGTTTCTCCACAGAGTTGCTTGGCACGGTAACCATAGGGATAGCCCTTTGGTTCAAAGCAGATGCTCCGCGTTGTGAACTATTGTTCACCGGAGCTCCGCTTTCAGAGTGATTGTCGTTCAGAACATTCTGCCCAACACCAATCTCGTTTTCTTGAGAAGTCATTTTCGTTTTCTTAACGTTTTTTCCGAAAACACAAAAAAAGTTTAAGTTCGTTCACAGAAGTGACAAACTACAGTTGAAGATTGTATCCGTATGATACAAACCTAGCAACAAAATACGTTTTAAGATTGTACCCGTATGGTACAAGCTTAAGCAAACAAATACGTTTTAAGATTGTTGGGTGTGTTTCGGAAAATAAAGAAAATTAATTAAAATAAATTAATTAATTAAAATGACGAAAGAAAAACAAGAAAAGAGATGGAGCAGAATTTGTCAAAGCTCGTGCTACGCACGATGTCCTTAAAACGTATTTGTTGCCTCCCACGGTGCTAGGAGCGTTGCAACAATAGTTTCCCAGGATACGATGACAACGAACTAATGTTTGAGCACACAAACAAGAGTTCCAACGAACGAGAACAAAGACTGAACACAGAAGGAATTTTCAGAGTGCTAGCAGTGTGTTTTTAGAGCTAAAACGTGTATGGATTCGTGTAAAATCGTGTAAGAACGTGTGTTGTTGCAAACCACCTGCCAGCCATTATATAGGAGGATTTGTTGTACGAAAACAGTGAATTAATGGACCTGAACGTTGGACATCAATGACCAGTCCGTTGGGCATTGAATCGTCCATGAACTGTCCATTTAACACTGCATTAAAAGATATAAACGTTGGGCATTTATTGCTGCAACGGTTCAGAAGTGCCACCAGAATACCAACGCGAGGTATTCTGATCGAGGCCATCAGAGACCGACACCAGAATACCAACGCGAGGTATTCTGATCGAGGCCATCGGAGACCGACACCAGAATACCAACGCGAGATATTCTGATGCCATGAGAGACCGAGGTCTTCTGCCGCTAGATTTTTGTATCTCTTGAGAGATAGATTTTTGTACGACATTCGTGTCCGCAGGTCGCCCGCGCACGCAAGTCGCGGTTTTTCTTCTCCGAATTCGGGATTTGATTTGCACCCCCCCCCCCCCCTGCGCGCGTGGAGAGAGCCTTTACCCTTAAGAATCTTAACTCCATAAGGGGAGGGTACCTTTATAAAGGGTTGCAAATCCCTTGGGTTTTCCGGTGTGGGAAATTAACACACTAGAAACCCATCCTTTTTCCCTTCTAACGGGTAAACTTCGAAAAGCGATTTCTCATTCACCCGTTATCCGTTTTGAGCGTACCACATATCGAATTGTAGCCCTTAGCAAGGACAATCCGAAACCACTTTGACCCGACCCAAATCGGAAGTGGACCCCACTCAAAAAATTGCCCGCAAATAGCCATTTAATGCAATTTTTCACACATTTTTCCAACATACATTTCATCAGATGCATTTAAATTTATTAGAAGTTGTCTCAAATGTATAATTAAATCATAAAGATTAAATACATAATAAATTATAACATTGGATCAGTGATTAAGGTACTAATTTTATAAAATTAATTAATGCGATCAGTATTGCACACATACGTATTTAGTATGGAGTATTACACTACACACATAAAGATTAATCCATTATACTCCGTAACTAATTAATTAGTGCTGCATGCGTGCATGCGGGCACTTTTATTTATTTATTTATAATTTATTATAAACAATATAGGTAGGTAGGTGAAAATAGTAGCTAGAATAAAGAAATGAAATCAAACGAAAGAAGTGACAGAAGTTGTGTAGATCCCAGCTGGCTTCCAGGTGGCAGGGATGACGTCAGTGGCGGTGAGGGTGCGGCCAGCGTCATCTGTGAGTATGATGGAGATGGGTTCCTGGGTGCTGAGTCCGGGTGCGGGAACGTCAGCCTTATAAACCACACCCCAGGACTGGACCATGCTTATCAACGTCCCGTTCGAACCCTGCTTCAGCTGAACCCGGCTCAGTGTTCCCTCTCCTCCCACGTATTTTATCGCCACTGCGAAATAGTAGGGGCTCGAACCCGAGTCCACAGTGAAGGTCAGTGGCGTCGTCCCCCAATTGCAATCAACTCTGTATATATAATAATATAGATGAATAATGAAAACTGAATTTTAGCTTATGGACTGTACATTAAACACTGTCTTTAAATATTTACCCATAAATATTTATATGGGCTGAAATATGCTGGTATGGTTTGTTTAAGTCTGATATGGTCTAATCTGGTTTGAATTAGTCTGATCTGATAAATGTCTGATGTATGTGTATCTATGTTGCACGAAAACGCAAAAATCATGAGGAAACGGGAAACGCCAAATTTTGTCCAAAAAAAAGACTTGTTTGGAGAGTTTTTTTTTATTATTACTCCAGGGGTCTGGGGGAGGGGGGTTGGGGGGTCTGGAGTAATTAGGGATGAAACTCACTCCATTGAGTTTCGAACTCTTATATGTCTAGCGGGTTTCGAACTCGAGACCTCCCACTAGACTTGTTTGGAGAGTTTCCATAGAGTTTTCGAAATAGAAACGTAATCTCTCCCAATAGTTTCAGTGCTACATAGATGTGTATTTTAAAACTATAGTGATCTTGTCTAAACTAGTCGATCTGTTTAAGTCTAGTCTGATTTGATTTGGGATTGAAAATAATTCACGTAAAAACATCCTTGATGGGTCAATATAGGACTCTAAATTTAGGACTCAATAATACTCTTATACTGCGTATTACATTTAATAGTATCTAGGACTATAAATGTGTCAATAATGCGTCAAATTAAATTGTTTTAAAAATATGATTGCAATTTGGTAAGTAAATTAAAAACGGTGTGCGGTAATGATTCTGAAAAGAAAATTAAATGCAGTACAAAGCTCAACATCACTCAAAATATAAATTAAAGTGCAAAATCGAATTCCTTATCGAAAAATGCATGATTAGCTGGCTAATAACGACATAGTGCTTATAATATTTGTGCACATACATACTTACCGTTGATATTGAATCTTAAGTTCTCCGGCGTCCCGAAGCTGATCAGCTTTTCCAGCAGCCGCTAAATTTCCAAAAGAAGTGCCACTCAAGTCAAAATGGTATGGATCTGATGAGCATACTCCTCCGGCAGGGCACTCATCTGTTATAACTACGGTCACCGGATTTCCTGAGCATAATGCATTACTACTTTCACTGCATTTTACCTAAATACATGATAATAAAAAAGTCAAGATTCGGGATCGATAAATGCGGGCGGATTATATTTTAAATCAGGTTATCGTACATGTCATGCATTTGATTAGTCGAAGTCATTGTTACGCCGCATCATTTATTTATGTTTAAATCATTCAATTTTCATATTCTTATTGATGCATGCGAATAAGGTATGGTATTTGAGGGTACCATACCTTCTTACTACATACTACGAAGAAATTCCACTTATGGTCCTTCGAGTTTTGCACCAATTCCACAATTGGTCCTCGTCTTTCACTTTATCCATTTTTGGTACCTGACTATTGTTTTCTTGACCATAAATGGTCCTTTTCCGGTAGTAAAAATGCCCAGAGATGGACCGAAAAATGGTTAATAAAACAATAATCAGGTACCAAAAATGGATAAAGTGAAAGACGAGAACTAAATATGGAAATGACAAAACTCGAAGGACCTAAAGTGGAATTATTTCTACATACTACCTACGTTCTTAAATAAATGCAACATGTTAAATTTTACACTATTTAGATGTTCTATTTTACTACCTACTATTTTTTTTGCTTTTTATTACTAACAGAGAATTATATATATCAATGGTCAAAGTTGGACCTCGACAAATGTGAAATGTTGACCATTGCATTTATTTAAGAACAGATGAGTATGTATTAATTAGAGGATGAAAGAATAGGGAGTATCATTTTTCATCCATATTTTGATACGTAGTAGTAGTAATAATAATAAATAATTAACCTGGTAACAAGCTCCACATCCTTTCCCAGAATTGAAGAGGGAAGAGGCACCTGCTGATATGAGAAGAGAGAAAGGTGGCTTCTCTACACTGTCTGTGTATCCACAAGCTCCACCTATAAATATAAAATATACGTACACATACATCCATCACCACCACATTTTATTAATGATTATTCCTCGTCCATAAATTATCTTCCAAAGTGGACTTTACAAGAATTGTGTTATGAAGAGTTGTGCGGAGTAAAGAGAAATGTGTAAAATTGTGTAAGAAATATCATCAATACAAATTCTTTGTAAAAAGGAAGAGTATTATTTTGGGACGGACGAAAAAAATGAAATGTGAGAGATAATTTGGGGACGAATTGAGGGAGTATCTACACGGTATGTTTTGCTCAGGTTATTGTGCTGTACGGATTACACATAGATAAAGTTAAAAAATAGGACCAAATAATATAGTCAAACATACATATGCGCGGAGGGTGTGTGGTACAATTAGGGTCTGTTTGCAATCCATTAAAAAAAGTGCTTTTAACTTTTTTTTTAAGAAAAAAACACTTATTTTACCAAACACTACCAACTTTTACTTTCTCGATCGGCTTCTGTGTAGAATCTACTTTTTACTTTTTCTATTACACAAAAAGCACTTATTTTACCAAACACTACCAACTTTTACTACTAAACACTTTTTCTCCAAAAGTGCTTTTATTTAAGCACAAGTGGTTGCAAACAAAGCTTTAATTAGTTGGAAATACACTTTTATTAGCTTTTTAGCAACAATATATATCTATAATTGTTTGATAAAATTAAAGTTATCTACTAGATTTAGTTTTATTTTATATAACAATGACTAATTAATGCCAATGGTCATAAATTCTTACTTAGAATTTACTTAGTGTAGCTTGGGAAAAATTAAATTTTGCATGCATACCTGTGCTTCCTCCACCATTGGCGCTCCCATACCAAGTTGCGGTAGCGTCAGACCAGCTGGTAGAAGTACCAGTTTGGGTTTTTGAAACGTTGAACATCTTAGGGTTGAAGCAATTACAGGAAATGGTAAGAATTGAAAACAACATGAAATACATAACCAATTTAGCCATGATCAATTATTATAATCTCAAACCTATATAAGGTGGCTACTTATTAAGAACTTGTATTTTAAATTTGAGTTGGCAAGCTAGGGCTTGATGAATGAGCATGCATTGCACACAACTGCTTTTTATAGAGAAAAAAAGAGGGGTATATGATTGTAATTAAATGCATATTGTATTCCTTCTTTTTAATTTTGTCTAGGCTAGCTCTCCAGGAAATATTTGTTATAATATTGACTTTTAAATAGTTACTTTCAAATTAGTAAATTAATTTTCTTAATTACTCTAATACTTCGTCCGTTCTCTTTTAATTGTAACATTTCTTTTTCAAGTTTGTCAATGCACAACATGGATCATTAATATATTTGATTCTCTATTAGTATAAAAATAAAAAATTCATATATTGTAAATATACGACAAAAAAAATTTAATAATGTTTTTCAAAAATTAATTCGGCAATATATTAATAAATAAAATGTAGTCGAACTAGAATATGTGAATGGTACGAAATTCAATATTTTATAATTATTTAAGAACAGATCGTTCAATAAAAAAAGAACAGATGTCGTATTGTATAAATATATGAACGTAACAATTGTAAAAACGTTAAAGAATTTACTTAGAAACTTAGAAATCAATTCTCCGTATGACCGTATTATAGATCAAAATGGGGAAAGCCACAGTTCACTTGACTAATGAGTAGTAAATTGAGAGCAACTAACGGATTATGTACGACTTATTATAAGGTGATATTTCTATCTTAGCCATAGAAAAAATAGATGTTATGTATCTACTAATGAGTCCCGTTCTTGTCCAGCCGGCCTGACGGGAACCGTCATCCGGCCGAGGGCATTTCGAGCACTTTCCGATCGAATTTTTTGATGAAATATTTTGAGCATGTTCTTCATCAAGTCTAGTTTATCCATACCAAATTTCAGCTCAAAATTCGATCGGGAAGGCATTCACATAATTTTTTGACGTTGACTGCGTCAAAATATACATATAAAAACGCAGTCAACTTCAAAAAATTATTTGAATGCCTTCCCGATCGAATTTTGAGCTTAAATTTGGTATGGATAAACTAGACTTGATGAAGAACATGCTCAAAAAATTTCATCAAAAAATTCGATCGGGAAGTGTCCGAAATGCCCTCGGCCGGACGGCAGTTCCCGTCAGGCCGGCTGGACATGAAGTTTTCTCTCTACTAATTATCAAATAAAGAGCGTATTGTAAAAACAACATATTAATCGATCATATTTGAAGAAAGTAATATATTCTGATATCTGTTGGATAATTACATGGATCATTCTTTCCTTTACACTAAAAAGTGAGGTATATTTCACCAAGAAAATTGATCGAGGGGGGCTGAGGAATAAATGTACCTAATAAATGCTACATCGAGTCATCGAGAACAAAAAATACTAAAATGGACTAATTAGTATTTTAATAGAAATAATTACATAAATATATATGACCAGAATAAAAATGATTTACGAAAATATGACTAGTTACTTGAGTAGTATTGAAGTTATAGTAATTCATGTTCAAGTTTTGAACTTAAATTACCACAACACTACGTCGTAGTAATGAATAATCATATTTATGTAAATAAGTTTTATTTTAGTAATATTCTAGTAAAAAACCATTTTACTGTTTTATTTTATTTTATTTTATTTTATTTTATTTTATTTTATTTTATTTTATTTTATTTTATTTTATTTTATTTTATTTTTTTTTATTTTATTTTATTTTATTTTATTTTATTTTATTTTATTTTATTTTATTTTATTTATTTTATTTTATTTTATTTTATTTTATTTTATTTATTTTATTTTATTTTATTTTATATCCCATATTTCTATTTAATATGAAAGAAAAATAAAAAAACTGTCATGAAAAATCAAAACTATCCAATAAACAAATACGTAGTATATTAAGAATACGAATAAAAAAAATAACAGAAGTGATGAAGCGTGAAGTCCAATCTGCCGGCGAAGTTATTTGAGAATATTAAAAAGCATTAAAAGATTTGAAAAATGATTTGGA